GAGTGCTTTGAGCAACATGCTTGAGAAACCCACTCAAGGAGATGTCGAAGACGTGCCACCTACTAAAATCGCAGTTGCCGCCGATGAGCCAAGCGCTACACGAACAGGTAGCCCACACACTATTACTAATGCAGGTAACAATGCACTCATGGCCATCTTAAAAAAATGGAAGAGATGGAAAATGAGAACAAAACACTCCGCGACCAAATGAAGGAGCATCAGAAGAGGGTTGATAAAATACCGGGCGCTCCGAAGCTATTATCAAAACGTGACGTGGGCTGATTCGTCGAACAACCATACAGTGAAGGGGCTGCCCCTCATCCTATTCCAAAAACCTTCAAGATGCCACCATTCTTGAAAATATATGACGGGACTACGGACCCAGAGGATCACCTAATCCATTATGTTTCTGCGGTAAAGGGCAATGATCTGTCAAAAGAACAGGTACCGTTTGTGTTGTTAAAAAAGTTTGGTGAGACTTTGATGGGGGGAGCATTGACATGGTACTCTCAGCTACCAGCGCGATCGATATCGACGTTCGAAGAGATGGCGGATAAATTCGCCACCGCCCATGTAGGAGCAAAGAAGGCTGAGGCTAGGGTCAATGATATCTTCGCCGTCAGGCAAATGACGGGCGAGGGACTTCGGGATTTCCTGGTCCGATTCAACAAAGTAAGGATGAGTCTACCGAACGTGTTAGAAGGGATGGCAGTAGCAGCCTTTCAAAATGGCTTAAACAGGAATGGATCAAGGGCGACCAAAAAAACTGCTCAGCAGACTCATGAAGTACCCCCCACCACCACCACCATATGGGAAGAAATCCACAACGCCTATTGCGCCGAGGTAAGGGCAGACGAGTATGACCTGAACGGGCCGCTTCAGCGATTAACATCAGTCCAAACCGAGACAAGGAGAGATCGACGTAAGGATGGGTGAAGAGATCAACCACCACATTTCAATCGAGAAAGGCATCAGCCCTATATTCGTACATCCAACCCGCCCCCTCCAAGACACGCAGACGTCGTGCCACGACATACGGCACCCCTACAAAATGAAAGAGGTATGCCTCCACCACTATCTACTCATAATTTTTGTGTTTCCCCTTCAGAAATAGTGTACGCACTAGAGAAACTGGGCACGAAGGTGCAGTGGCCGCAAAAGATGAAATCGGATCCAAACACCAGGAGGTCGAATGTCCTGTGTGAATTCCACCAAGAAAGAGGACACAAGATCGGAGATTGCATAGGTCTGCGGCAAGAAGTAGTTAGGATGTTGAACCAGGGGTACCTGAAAGAACTGCTAAGCGATAAGGGAAGGGCCAACTTTGCTCGCGGGCGCGAGCCATCTCAAGGACCTCCAAAGCCACCATCACCAGTGCGTACCATACAAATGATCATTGACGGTGGTGATAATACGGTAATCAATCATGTGAAGTTCACTACCACACACAAACTCAAACGGCAGTCGCTCACGAACAATATGATAACCTCGAAGACAGTATCATCTTCGATAAGTCAGATACTGATGGTTTGTCTTTCCCTTACTATGATGCTTTGGTTATAACTTTGCGCATCACTAACACCGATGTAAAAAGAATCATGGTGGATGACGGAAGCGGCGCGTGTATTGTTCACCCGTGAGTTCTCATGCAAATGAGGCTCGAGGATAAAATAATACCGCATTGCATAACACTAATGGGTTTTAACAATACAGTAGAGCGGACATCCGGAGAAATAGTGCTACCTATCCTAGCAGGATGGGGTCACCCTAGAAACAACATTCTCTGTCATGAATCAAAAGACAGAGAAAAAAGAATGGGAAGTGGCGAATGTGCGTCGACATCACCGATTTGAACAAAGCATGCCCGAAGGACTCTTTCCCGTTACCCCACATCGACTAACTTATTGATGCAACAGCGTGGCACAAAATGCTGAGCTTCTTGGACGTATACTGTCACGCCCCAAAACCAAGGAGCGTAACCGGCGCTCAACCGAGTAAACCCGACTGAGCAAGCCTGCTAGATTTCATTTTACCCAAAGTCATCCTTGAATAAAGAGGAGATATACTCCATTATTCAAACTCTAAAAATAATTAATTAACAACTTCGTTCACAATTTTGAAGATACTACAAGTTTTATACCACATTGCCAAACATCAATATTTTCAATTTAATTCCAATACCCGACACTACCCACAACCTGTCTACGGAGCCTCTAAATACAACTGAAGAGTAATATGGAAATACCGACAATAAGGCCCCGACTATACCTCAAATATAATATACATAATAAACAGATGAAACAGGACCCCAAAACAAAGTGGGGCTTACCAAGTCAGCTAAAAGGATGATGCGACACTAGCTGCAACCAACACTGCCTGCTATAGAAACACCTACATTCATTTAAAGACATAGCGCCCTCGGCAAAAGGGACGTTAGTGCCATTGAATAGCACTAGTATGTATAATTAAACACTATCTAATTAGAAAGAACTATCATGCAAAAATAAGGAAATCACAAGTACAACTCAAAAGCTTTAAACGATCACAACATTATCAATATAAAGAATCATACAATTTTCACATCATGTTTCCATAGCCTTTAGTTTGGAGCATTTCATACTGTTCAACATTGTTCACAATACCATCGCTATCTTGAGCGGAGTCCGATCTCGACCCGATCAGCTAGGTCGCCTCATTTGAGACATATACTTCAATAACAATCTCATTTTCCCTTTCTCCAGAATTCATTCACAATACCACTGCTATCTTGAGCGGAGTCCGATCTCGGCCCGATCGGCTATGCCGCCTTACCAAGGCATTGTTCCCTTCTCATTAATCATTTCATTTCACATATGTCATTTCATCGGCACTTGGGGCCACAACTCTTCACATCATTCTTGGCACTAGGCCGCATTTCATAACTCAATCTCTTTTTTCCCACATTTCACATCATTTTCACATATTTCACATCAATTCAATTTCAACAACAAGCCATTCAATTCAAGATGTCAAGTACACATGAGAGGAATCATGAATCTTGGGCATATACAATATTTCAGAAATCATACACCTCAAATTATTAACAATGGAACTTTAAACACAATGAATTCTCCCAAAAGGAGGGGATACACCAACCCGCAATAAAAATACACCTCAAAGGCATAAGCAAGCAATTACACCAATTGTTCTTGAATTACTCTTTTACAGTCATGACAATATACAATTTCAACATCGAAGTATGTAACAACTCGGATCACATTGGATGTACTCATAAGGCAAGACATTACCTCGAATAGCCACTTATGGCATAAATTGTGTATAAATCCTTTAGGGCACTTTATTATTGAAATCATTTATGGAAAGTGAAGTCAAGGCTCATTTCATAATCTATTTCATATTTTCGCGTGTCATAGGCATCACCAGGTACCATTATAATTCAAGTTCTCGACACATTGGCCATACTCTATTTTCCAAATTCATTTTGATTTATTTCAAACATCTCTACCCAGAGGATTTCATATAGTTTGGTATAACAATCTCAATTTAAACTTGACTTGAAATCTAGGCAATTTAGCATATACTTCACATTCTTCACATATCCCCAATTTACCAAGAATAGCATATTGAACACATTGAGGTACATCTTTCACATATATTCTTGCAACACCCAAATCCTTTGAAATAATGAATACTACATAAATTAAATTTCGGACTTACAACATATGCGGGGACACCATGGGAGCTCAATTTCTAAGTAGAGGAAGTTTTAGCCATACATACCTGAAATTTGCCCCTTAATGATACTACAATGATCCAATACACTTAAGTAACTTCAATCTACAATACAACATTCAATAGGGCCAATATTAGTAATAAATTCCATAACTTAAGCCATTTAGGCATATTATCAAACACCTTGTAGGTATAGATCTTTACACCTCATAACTATAGTATTGGTTCATCCAACTATCACCATTAACCAACAATTCATCCCACCATTATTCTTTAACAATTTATACTCCTAACATCACATGTGTGATCAACCATTCACACCCAACCAACAAAATTCCATCAAATAATCACCTTTAAATCCCTACCATGGTCATGTATTTAAATTGGGAATTTATGGCTTCCAATCACCATACCATAAGTTGTAATACTTGATTCATACTCATAATTCCATAATAACTCCATATATGTAAGTCTAAGGGTAAACGTTTACCTCTTGTAGACCAAATCTTGAAAGACAACTTTGGGGTGTTCTTGAGATTTTGAAGAAATCCTATGAAATCTAATCAAAATCATGTTGTAACTAGTGATTGAGAAGTGAAAACACCATGAAAACACACTTAAAAACTCACATTAGGTGTGCAATTGGATGCCTTGGTCGGATTGGGGATGGAGAAGATGCCCTAGTCTTGAAAAATGACTTAAATCCTCTAATTTCCCGTCCTTAGGTGTATTTAGAGGTCTGCTACTAGCGCGTTAAGGAGGCAGAATACTTCGCAATATGCGCGGGCGCACTAATGGCCACGCTAATGACACATGCCCAGTAAAATGGTCGTAACTTTCTGTATACACCTCCAAATGATGAACAGTTTGATGCATTGGAAACTAGACTCAAAGGGATTTAATGTGATAAGTTGTGCATCACACAACTCCTTATATAACTGCAAATATGATCGTCCAAAGTGAGGTCTTGAGCGCACTCATTTACAACTTTAGTCTATTATGAAATTTTCCAACTTGGCTTAGACTTAGGCCTCTCCTTAGACCCCAAATCACTTATAATATGACTTATACGCTTATTAACATATCCAATTGATATTCATTATATCATGAATCCTCATTTGCACATAAAATAAAATAATTAGCCTACCTTGACACCACAAAATCTTAAATTTCTTGGAAAAAATTTTCGGGGCCTTACACATACTCCGGTTATAACCAAATTCTAATGGCTGAAGAAGATCAAGAAAAGATCACTTTCATCACTCACCGAGGTACATACTGTTATAAGGTGATGTCGTTCGGGCTAAAGAACGCAGGGGCCACGTATCAAAGGCTAGTCACCAAAATGTTCAAAGAACAACTTGGTAAGACAATGGAGGTTTACATCGATGACATGCTAGTGAAGTCGGCAAAGAAATAAAATCACAATGGTCATCTGAGGGAAGCCTTCGAAATACTAAGGTAGTACGGAATGAAACTGAATCCCGAAAAGTGCGCCTTCGGCGTGACTTCTGGAAAGTTCCTCGGTTTCCTAGTGTCACAAAGGGGAATCGAGGTCAACCTGGACCAAATCAAGGCCATTGATGCAATACCGCAAATACTAACTAGCAAAAAGCAGGTGCAGAAATTGATAGGACGAATAGCCGCCCTATCAAGGTTCATTTCACGATCCTCAGATAGATGCCATAAATTCTTCAATGTATTAAGGAAAGATCACGGGTTGCAATGGAATGAGGAATGTATCGACGCCCTGAGAAAGCTGAAAACGCATCTATCCTCGCTACCACTGCTCATCAAAGCAGACCCAGGTGAATGCCTACTTGTGTACTTAGCGGTTTTCGAAGTTACGGTAAAGGCGGTCTTGGTCTTTGAAAATAAAGGTATGCAATCCCTGATTTACTATATCCGCAAAACTTTAATCGGTGCCGAGACGAGGTACCCTCACCTTAAAAAATTAGCTCTAGCACTAGTCATAGCTTCATGGAAGCTTAGACCGTATTTTCAATGTCACCCTATAAAAGTGGTGACAACCTTCCCTCTAAGGGGTATCCTACACAAACCTGAACTATCGGGTAGACTAGCCAAATGGTCCATAGAACTAAGCGAGCATGACATAACGTACCAACCACGAACTGCCATCAAGTCGCAGGTGCTCGCAGACTTCGTCGCCGGTTTCAGCACGGAAATATTGCCCGAGGTGGAACAGGAAGCAATCCGCACTTCTACACATACCGACCTTTGGGCCCTCTACACCGATGGTGCCCCTAATGCCTTGGGATCAAGACTGGGACTCGTCCTTGAGGTCCCTACAGGCGAAGTAATTCGCCAGTCCATACGATGCCCCGAGATGACTAACAACGAGGCCGAGTATGAAGTTGTGATTGCAGGTTTGAAGTTATCCCTCAAATATGGCGCTCGACGACTCATCCTCCACTGTAACTCTCAACTCGTGGTGAATTAGGTCACCAAGACTTTCCAAATCAAGGAGAAGAGGCTACAAAGATACCAGTCAGAAATCTACAAACTACTACCAAATTCGACGAATGTCGCCTCGACCAAATACCCAGGGTGCAAAATATCGAAGCGGACGGCCTCGCTAAACTAGCCGCGGCCACCAGGAATATCAACCAAGAAAAAGTAGTCACCCTCCTTCATTTCACAATAGAGCACGTCGAGGTACATTCTATAAACTTAACTTGGGGCTGGAATAACCGCTTCGTAGCCTATTTGCAGGATGGAACGCTCCCACAAGACAAAAAAGAAGCCAAAAAACTCCGGGTGCAGGCAGTCTGGTACAGCCTAGTAAACGATGATCTCTACAAAATAACGTTCGATGGCCCTCTAGACAAATGTCTCGGGCCACATCAAACAAGGCGAGTACTGGAAGAAGTACACGAAGGGCACTACG